GCAGCAGCGCCTCTGGCGCGGGCATTGTTCGGAAGCGGGGCCGGTGCGGGGCGCAGGGAGGGAAGCAGGGCGACGCAAGGGGAAAGAGGGCGGAGGGGTTGCCGCGCCCGGCACACGAACTGCCCCGGCCCGGGCTCACCTGCCAGCCTGAGCGCCGACATCCTCTGGAACTCGGGCTCCTGCAGCCACTTCCACATCCTGCGGAAGGTCTCCCGGCCGGATTTGAGCTTGCTCCAGGGCTTGGGGTTCCTCAGCAAGTCGGAGAGGGTCCCTTGAGAGCGGCACAGCACCCTCTGGGCGAAGATGGCCTGGGGGATGCTGTACCGCTTGAGCTCGGTGGTGATCCTCTGAGCTACTTCTTTGGTATTGATTTCTTCCATTTGCCCTGAATTACTCCCACTGTTGACCTGCGAACCAGTGACGGAAGGGTTTTGTTCCCTGCTGGAGCCCAGAATCTGCCCGTGACTCTGGGCATTCAGGTGGGCATGGGGGTGGTGTGGGATCCCATTGATAGGCACCATGCCAGCGGACGTGGGGGTAAGGTGTTGGTCACCATGCCGGGCCAGCATGGCAGGGTGGTGGGCTTCAAAGCCGTTGGGGGTGAGCATTTTCTCGGCAGGCATGGTGGCACTGGGGTGAGCGTAGTGGGGCAGCCCCTGCTGGGAGTTGTGAATGCCCCCCAGGCCCGATCCAGACAAAGGGGAGAGGCTCTGCCCCATGCCGGTAACATCCTTATGGTAGGGGGTGTAGAGATTGTTCATAGAAGCCAGACCCCGCTCGTCCCTCATGAGGGTGAAGCTGCCACTCACGTTCCCTGGTATCCGCTGGTGGGGGTGGTGGTGATGGTGGTGGTGATGGTGGTGGTGAGGGAATTTGTCCGACACGGTCGAGATGGGAGGTAGAGGTTGCAAAGGGGTTAACGTGGTGTAGGTGCTGCTCATGCTCATCCCGGGGGGTGTCTCGCAGGCCATGGTCATGGTGGGGTGCAGGGGTCCCGTCAGCGCGTGGTCAGGGGGCCGGTGATGGTGGTGGTAGTCGCCACCGTCCAGGATGGAAGCCATGCCCATGGAGCGAGGGTGGGCTGGCAAGTGATTGCTGCGATGGGCCACCGAGCTCCTGTGATGGGGGCTGCTGTTCATCAGATCGGCCGTAGTTGGCACCGGCTCATGGCTCACCCCGTGCAGATCGCCAATGTTCTCCATCGTCAGCTGCGCATTCATTGTGATTCGTGCAAGCTTGTGGACAAAACATCTATCTGGTCTGTGGTTGGAAGGTCCTAGGAGGTCTTCGCGTCGGATGCGTGCAGGATTCCTCCCCTGTGGAAAGGATCAGGCTCTTGGGGGCTTGGTTGATTTTTTTGTTGTTGTGATTTATTGTTGTTATTTTTTGGTGATGTTGGCTCAGCTTTAAGGCCCCCGTTCCTTTAATACAGCCTCAGCCGCCCCGGTAGGTGTCTGATCGCGTCCCTCGCCATCTCTAGCCATGTCTCTTACTGTTTCAATGTCTTTGGCCACTGCCCCTGCTGCTGCTGCAGCTGCTG